ACTGAAAAGTGCATTTCCCTTTTCAATTTTGATGTGAATGCATGGTTTCTTAAATTTCTCACTCGCGTCATTCAAATTACTATGCATGCTTTTTACCGCTTTTAAATGAGTAAAAGTTTAAAATGTTAAGCTGTTGCTGATTTTTCAGTGTTCAGAATTGAGTTGTCAAAACGGGGGAACATGCAAAAGAGGGCCAGGATATAACGTTTCATGCGCATGCGCGGCAGAATTTACTGGCAAGAACTGTGAGATAAGGGTACCTTCCCTGACGTGTTCATCAACCTGGTTATCAGCCTGTCAAGGACCGTACGGAACTGACCGCTGCTCGTGAGTTCTAGACCTCTCTCTCTCTCTCTCTCTCTCTCGTGCACACACACTATACAAACACAAATGCACATTGGCACATATTTTAATATCAAAATTTTACATAGTAGGCCTTATCAATTTGTAGAGTAGGCCTACAATGAAACCATTTCTTGCATCTTCCAAGATTGGCATCCCATTTGTATGCATTGTTTATATTCAAAATTCAACAGAACCCAAATGCTACTGTCTTCAGTGGCTAGGTACCTGCTGTGGCTAAAGAGTATTATAACTTTACCCATTATTTTAGTTTCTCCTGTCCAGCCGAATGCATTGACTCAGGCACCGTATGAGGGACGGGGAACTATACAGGGGTAAGTTTGTTTGTTTGTTTGTTTTTTAAGGGAAAAAAAATATATATTTTTTTTAATTTCATTATTATCCTCAGTTATTAGATAATAGTTGTATTGCAATTAAAATGGACGGATATTCCAGATTGTTTTTACAAATTACAAAACAATCCATTTTTAGTAAAGACATATTAGCAATTCGTGAATTCGCGGTGATTTCAAACAAAAAATATACTTTGGGGATCAAATAAGTACACGCATACACATACATGCATAAGTACATGCACATAGGCACACACACGTGCACATGCACTTATGTTAAAAAAAAATAGAACTAAAACAGGTGGAGCAGAATTAATGAAACATGTTAGGGTAACAAATAAAATTCTATTTATTTATTTATTTATTGTTTCATGTTGGCAGGACTCCGCGTTGTGCCGAGCTGCCATTCACGACGGCCGCATACCATCTACGGGTGGAGTGGCCACAGTGATAGGTTTTGGAGCGTTACAGTCCTTCGGAAGTTCAACACAGAACGGGGTGACGACAAGCAGGTAGGAACGTATAATTACTACAGTTATGCCCGTGCTGCTTGTTTATACTGTACATGCATTTTTTTTATTCGTGTGAGTGCATTTGTTGAGTTCTTGATTATAAAGAAGTGTTCATGTACGGGGGTTATTGATAGGGGAACGTAAGTGTGGTGTTAAGTAAGGTAGAAGTAACATATATTGTATTTTATTTTTTATTATCCAGTATTTTTGTAATGCATTTCATGAAATGAAGTAGCCGAAATAAAGAGTAAATCACGGCGTTGTTAATAACTATGAATCAAAGAACATGTCATTGTCCGTTTTAATGTTTTAATTTTAAATGGATCTTTTTATTTTTCAGCTACGGTAGTTATGGAACTTCCTTCCGTTTCGTCTAAATAAAAAGAAAGCATCAGACAATGAGACTTGTAATAACCAAGAAAACTGCATTCTTCCACGTTTGATGACGTCGTCGTGATATCAGTTCTAGGCGATCGAGCGTGACGTCATATGAATTATCCCTGCATGAGCACTAATGGACTACACATGCCACGCGTCTGTTTTGATTCCTTCTCAGATGTAAATTTTCAGTTTTTGTTTTCATACTCACAATAAATATCTGCAGATCGTAAGGAGGGGTATGTTTTTGATGGCTTTTGCAAAGTTAGATACACTGTTTTATTCAATACCTTTACTTCAACTTCTCGACCATGTTATGGTTATTATTTATTAAACATTTAAAGTAATATGTAAGTAGACCTACATGTAGGTATTTTACTATTTATTCATTAATAAAAACAACCCCCGTTATAGATTGGCTAAGTGAGCTTCAACGCGAATAATACAATGTAGCAAACGAGTCGCTTCCCACCACGAACATTCTACCTGTAAATTAATCCCTGTGAAATGCACCAACCTTTTTCAAAACTTCACAACAAATCTGTTAAAACGATGATCGATGATGCCAACCGTCTTGAAAAATTTGAACCATCTACAGTACTTATCGGAGTTGTGTAAAAGAGGAATCATGTTGGATGCTTCCACACACTGCAAAGTTTTCCGGTCAATTGCCAACTCAAAGAAATGTTGAAACCACAGAGAATATTGTAACCCTATATAATCATCCATATATATATATATATATATATATATATATATATATATATATATGGGAATGCTCACAGGGCAAATAAAATGGAAACTAAGCTGGTGCTGGTTACAAATCAAAAGTTGCCAAATTTCCATAAAATTTAAATAATATATTGTCTGAAAATTCTCTTAAAACCAAGATATAAATCCAACACGACACAGTTGGAAGCCAGCTGGTTGAAAGATAATTAGTTTGAAACCGAACACTGACCTTCTGTTTGCTCGAGCTGGCTCTGTCGAATGAGACAAGGTAACCATTCCATTCTCGCACTGGTCATATTTTGTTTCTGCACTGATCCATGTGTGAGGTTTAGCAAAAATATTGTGTTTGTGTGACAGAAAACGTTTATACATGCAAGAGTTTGCTTGGCCTCATTAAAAACTGTTCATTTGGAGAGCAACGGAAAATTAATGAGAAATGTCCGTGTCTTGTTTCCGGAAAACAAGAAGATAACCCTCTTTGTTGTTTGATACAGCTATCTTTATTTTCAACAAAGGAATGTGGTAAAAAACTGAAATAAAATAAAGAAAAACCTTTGTCAAAATACTGTTGATGATATTTCTATTACTTATTGTGGCACTTACAGGCCACCGTACCTTGCAAAACTAGCGTGAAACGTGCAGCATTCTTGCAATGACAAGTTTTAACGTGAATACATAAAACAAGGCAGCAAAGCTGTCAAATGTACAGACAAAAAACAGAAAATAAAGATGCAAAATAGGTCATTTTGTCAATTTTGATGCAATAATAAATAATGCTTATAATAGCACTGTCAGTCAACACTGAATTTTAATCATGCACAACAGGTAACATGGTCAATAACAGGAGTGGACCCAGAGATATTGCAAAATTTACCTGCATAATTATCACTCCTTCCTTATTATTAATCTAGCAGACTGGCTTAATCTTTGGGAGTTTACAGGGACATATCAACAACTGTGCTTTATGTAATCTCATTTAATAACCTATTAATTAGGCAAATGACTTTATAACTCTGAACTTAGCTTAGTGATACCCAAGGGAAATTTACAGACTGACCCTCTCAAAGGTCTTTCAGGCCCATAAGTCACATCTTAAGAAAAGCACAAAGTAATAATGCACAAAATAGGATGCTGTAAATTCTGATGCAATAATNATTACTTATTGTGGCACTTACAGGCCACCGTACCTTACAAAACTAGCGTGAAACGTGCAGCATTCTTGCAATGACAAGTTTTAACGTGAATACATAAAAAAAGCAGTTTACAGATACTAAAAATGTTCTTTACATAACCACACTTATCAAAACTATATAAAATGTGGAAAAACTCACGGTGTGCTTGGCCAATCTTAAGAAAAAACTCTGTACAGTGCACGAGCGGCTGCTGATGAGCGAGCATGGAGCCTCGACATGAAAAACTAGGTCAAATACGGAGGCCCGTAACAACACAGTCCGATTTGAGTTGCCGTTTGACGTTTATTGGTAAAGTGGTCGCTCTGCTGACAGAAAATAGTGTACGAAACAGACATCGAGATAACTTTCAATATTTTCAGTGCATATTAAAAACAATTCCACGATATTCAAATGTATACAGATCTTTTTTCTTGTCGCCAACATTTGCCATGGTGAAGCTACTAGAGTCATCCTGTATTGATATAACGTTAACGTTTGTAACATATAGTATCTACATTTAATATGAAGGACCCATACAACGTTTAATACAGTGCCCTTACAGCAGTTGCTGTCTCAACTTGTATAAACGGTAGTTAAACATGTAACCACAGCTTTGGCTCCTGAAGTGCATTATATCACATTCAATTTTGACTCAAATATTTCAACTAAAGTCGTACGATTATCTTCTATGCTTCGATAGCCCAGTCTTGGAGTGCACAGCAATGGACTAAGGCTTACATATCATGTATGGTAGTACAAATACAGCTTGTTCTTAAAGAAATCTAAGACCCAAACAAGTATAGTGTGTCTTAAAAGGAATACAAGAAAAATTGCCTTCTTTTAAATTATATAGATCAGGGTGAATATAGTCTCATTTGTAATCTCAAAATTATATTATTTCCCAATAAAAATCAACATTTTTGATTAAATGGCCACCCAGGTTCTTACGTGTCGAATATGGCTTACAAAATTCTTTCTAGGAGTTTATAGCTATATGATGTTTTTTCTCCTTGAATCCCCCCCTCCCCCAATGCACTGTTATACTTAAAGAAGTCACCATCTATGTTCCTTCACCGTAAGCGGCATTTTAGTTTTGTAATTAGGCTATGAAGTGTCCCTGATGATAAATATTTATTATTGCCCTCATGGAAGAAAATAAACAAACATGTAGGTACAGATATTTATCTTTTTCAGTACCAATTTTACTAAGTCTTATCACTTTCGTTTAATTTGAGAATTATATGGAATAAGCAAGGATCGATAAATTTTGTGAATTGCCTGTACACATTTTTCGTGTCATTTGCACTTTCTCACCTTTTTAAATTCCAACTAAGGATATCATTTCAGCTGTTTTCTTTCACTTGTGTATAAACGCAAATGCACATTTCCCCATTTTTTTCCCCAACCCGATTCCTGCAATAATAAACTGCTCAAGATGGGTCCAAGTAAGCACCCAGTGAACAACTTGTTTAGTTTGTCCTCAGTCCAAGCAATTACACCTTGAAATCCAATTACACTTAAATATTTCATTTTTATTTTTTTCTTATTCATTTTTAAACTTTTTAATCATTTTCACTTTTGCTCTTACAAAACAATTTGCACTTAGCAGCATGCAGTACATATATGACATAATAGTTTTAAATAAATGTAATTTCTTACAGATGTAGTTGAACTCCTGGTGACTTGTAATCCTATCTGCATTCTAGGCTAATTCCCAATCTATGGGGATTAAAGGTACTGTGGTTTACCCCCAGTAAAACCAAGTTTAAGAAAGCGACACATGAACAATGACAAGAGAAATTGGCCCTATCTCCTTATGTCTACTGAGCTATCCATCACATACAGTGTGATGTTTAAACTGAATCCCTTTCAGCAACAAGTTCCCCAAAAAGGCTCACCATTCAATACTCTATCTTCATACATCATTGCATGATTCAGGTAGGTACATTGATCAGAGGCAGCATTGCCATTAAGTGCCAATATATGAAAACAAATACAAGACCACAGCCCAGTAAGTCAACTTCCTGGGACCAGAAGAGCTCAATGTCATGGTAAAGGGCCAATGATGGTACATATTTCTTCAAGACCCTTTTAAATCCTGGGATAATCCTTGTATGAACATTTCACTTAATATGGCATACAGAACCGACGTAAAATGTACAATATCCAACTAACACCAAAGTAATCATCCTGACAGATTACGCTAACAACACTTCTTGATGCACTTAATTGGAGGATTTTTTTGTGTGAAATTTCCAGAACACAGAACATCAAAAGTCCACTTCCCATTAATGAGATTGTAGAAACATCAAAGAATGAGACCTTCATAAGTAGGTCCATCATTCTCTGGTGACTCCTGTCTCAGTCTTAAATGCTCAATGGTGTTCTGGAAATGCTTATTAATCTGCTCAGTCTCTTCATTGGATTCTAAGTTTGGCAAGTCTTCACGGATCTTTCCGATTAGTTGATTTAGCACCTGGACTGTCATCTGAGGAAAGAAAAGAAAAGAAGTCCAATTACTTATCACGAACATATATTTTTGAACAAATTGTTCCAGGGCTTGGTAAGTGAATCTTTTAATTAGGCATACAATTACTATATAGTTGGCTTCATCAAAACGCAAATCTAATATGGTTGGATATATTATTCTTAAATATAATATAAAGGTATGTGAGTGTAAGTATGTGAGTGTTTATGCTTCTACGTGTATGTGATCATGTATGCATGCGAAACTGCAGTAAAAATAAGGAATATTCAAATTTACTTTTAAATGCTTCTTTTTATAGTCGGACCCAGTAAAAATATTAAATTGATCAAAACTTTTAACGCTAACACCTGAATAAAGGGATATTTAAATTAAAATTAATATCCATTCCATTTCCATGCATACAGTATGTATCATGGTGCATTTCGTCGGCAAATTTTTCATATAATCAATGAAAAAATCCAAATTAATAATAATAAAACTAAAATATATCTTCTTACGTGGCAGATTGAAAAAAAAAAGTGGCCCAGCTTTAAGATTCTAGCCACTGCAACGATTATTTCACCTGGTCATTTCCTTTTTCATACATATATATGTAATGGTTGAGGATCTCCACAAAGAGCTGCACTTGTACAGAGCTGTCCATGCACTGGTTGGCTATCCTCAGGCTTTTCTTCAGACACTCCATCACACGTTTACCATCCTGGACCTGGAAGTACATATCATCAATAAAACTTAATAATGCACTGACAATTGTCCAAATAATTATCTTTAATAATAAATATCCTGATGATGATTTTTCTCAGGAAAGGAAAAAAGATGCCATCAGCATCATAAAGTTAATCTGTTTGTGTCGCCTGTTGTCGCCAAATGATCTCCAGTCATGTGGAAAGTCGTACAGCGCAAAGTCCACTCTCTGACCACCTTTGAGTAACTCACCAGTTATATACACTGCTCCACCAAAAATGAGGAACATGTTTCATAATTGCTTTTTTTTTTGGTCAGTATATTAATTAATTCAATGGTTTAAACAAAATCGTCAAAATTTTCTGTTTCTTATTATTATTATTATAAATGTTGGGTTAATACATATTTAACTTTCATGAACAATGAATTTGAAAAAAATACAAATTGGAAGTCTTAGCTACTCCTTTTATTGGAAGTCTTATAAAAAAGTATCACCAAACACTATCAGCTAGCTGTTCCAGACTTTTGCTGTTCTCATAAAAGAAAGAAGTCACCATTTTCATAGCAGCCNAAAAAAAAAAAAAGAAAACTTCAGAATAGAGTATGTTTCAATTTTTTTTATTTCCTTAGAACCTTCAATGGCCAGGTCATTTACCTGCTGGATATGACAATCAGAAAACTAAATCAACTTTCAAGTTCAAAATTGGGCCGTTTTCCCAGAGTGTCACCTTGCCACCCAGTGGTTGATAGATTCCTTGACTAAATAATCATCAAAACTTGGCCCCTATAAAACTGCTGTCAAAATTTGGTTAACTTAAGCATAATATTCCCCAAACTTGAAACAAATCCATACACATATCTTTACTTTTATTCACTATAAACATGCCACCTATGTGCTCTTTAAATGCAGGCCACTCTCAGTGGAAGTCTTTTGGGTCAAATCCCATCCCGTTTAATACTTAAAGAAAGTATTGTTCCAGACCTTGTCTGCTATGAGAAAGGTTTCTAGGGTAAACAGTATCCAAGACTCTACAAAACACCATCTCTTGTTCAGTCACACCTGCATCAATAGCACCATCACACAAAATCGTATGGAAATAAACTTTCCCTGGTCTTGACTAGAACACCTCTTCCCTTATTGTCAGCTGATATGAAATTCGGGAATCTGTTAAAAAAATATAATATAATGATAAAATTATACATGTATGTAGAAACAAGGAATACATACAAAGCAGATAAAAACTGAAATTTAATGAAAAATCCATAGATTAAAAAAAAAACTCACCTCATTATCAGTCTCACACCAGTTGTTTATCAAAGTAATTTCTTACCATACTATATAGTATTAATAATTCCTTGGTCCTAGATAAATAATAATGAAGTATTTGATATATATATATATATATATATATATATATATATATATATAAACCAAGCCTGTAGCCAGGGGGGTTGGGGGTTCGAAAGAACACCCCTTTTTGCTGGAAAAAATGTTTGACCTAGATACATGGGGATTATATGGTAAAAGGTCCACTTTTTCATAAAAAGAACCCCCCTTTGAAACTGCTGGCTACAGGCCTGTAAACACTTAATTACCTTCTGCTTTGTCTAACTGGTATCTTTTCATCATTCCATGCCATCAAGTCCATTCTCATGCTATAGCTTAGGTAGGGATAGGTATACTGTCAACATTTCACTAAAACTGAAAAGCACAATGCATAGGTAATACATTTAAAGTGTGCATTGGTCATAAAGTGTGGCTGTGCCTTGACAAACTATTTTTTCAAACTTGTTTAATTTGAAGACTTTTTTACTACCAACAATTTCAGCTAAATTGAGAAAAATTGTTTTAAAAATCAAAATATTTAAACTAATAATGTAAAACAACTTTGGAACCTGCCCAAGAAAGATCTTCAGTACACCTGTACAGTGTAATGCTGATTGCGCCATGTGCTAATTAACAGGTGTGAGTGTATAAACACACACCCTATTTTGGAAAAAGGTCTAGATTCCAACCTCAAGGAAATAGACACAGATCAATACTCAAGTAGGCCTAAACATTTTATGTAAACAAAGTACAACTATAACTTTGCAACAAAATGTAACATTTCACTGGTACTGAACGTCAACAAGTGCATCTAAACTATGCGAAGGGAGGTTACTCCAAAATCATTTCTATACATTTCGGCGCTTATATGAAACTTAGTGAACGCAAAAAAAGACTCACCTTTTAGTCTGCAAACCCAAAGCTATGTATCTTGAAAGGCAAACAGTAGATGTTCCATTCTAAAACCATGTTATGGTCGATCTGCAGCACCGATGTCGTTTTTTCACGTATTATTTTCCATAACAACTCTCACTTTGACAGTGACACATTGTATACTATGAATATACACCTGAAAAAGCTGAACATTCAATTTTTTTATCGAAATGCAAGATTTATGGAGAAAAACGCTCTCGAGTCACTTGCTCAGTGCAACGTGACAGTCCCTGTTTCGACTGACCTATATACTTCGCACTAAAATAGGGATTTCACAAAAAAGGAAGATTGTACAAAATTTTTATTCTTTTTGGCTCAATTCCAGCATATAGTGTCATAAATCGTTATAATATCAACAAAGTAAGTTTGTCCATTTTTTCTACAATCAATTCATTTTAGGGTACAAAATTCAACGATCAGCTTGAGAAAAATGCGTGTCAGGTAAATTAGCCAGAAATTAAGTCCGTGTAAACAAAAGATGCACTGCCAGTGCACCACTGCACCACTGCGTTTACCGCAAAATACCAGGAAATTAAAGTTTCACAGGTGCGTACATGAAATTCTTACATTATTTTTATAAAATTGTAAGGTTTTCTGTGTTTGTTGTGTTAGCTAGGATTGTGTTCGGTGTGAATCGTGTATGTTCGTATGTGTACGTGGAGGTCAAGGGTTGAAAGACCGCGCCCCATAAAATTTGATTTCCACCTGAGAGTCGGAAGGAGATGCAGGTTGAATAACTGAAATAGGTATTCCAGTGAGCTTGCAGGTAAGTTTAACTATATTTAATAAAGGACCAATCCATAGTTTAAATTCATACATTTCTAATTTTATATATTTATTTTTTTATGGTGTTTTTGGCATTGCTATATTTTTATTTCTTTGTTTTGTCTTTCTTGTCTTTCGTCAGTGTAAATTTTGTATATGTAATTGTTTAAAATTAATTTATCTATATTGCTCTTTCAGATATTTGGAGATATTTGGAGATATTTGCAGATATTTGTACAATAACAATAAAGAAACATCAACCCGAGCTATCGGTCTGTTACAAAATGTAAAGAATAATCGTATCACTTGATTTTTGGGAGCCAATGAAAAAAGCGGAAATTTTACACTCCGTTATAGGTAAACAAAATGACTCGTTCGACGGACTGGAGCCGTGGAGGGGTATCGTTTATTTAGGAGGCGTGCACATAAATTTGGTGGGTATTTGAAAAGTATTAAACTAGTCACAACGATCAATATTATCTCAATTTAACTCACTTGAAGTGATTTTCAAGTTTGTGGTCTCTTTATATTTTTATGGAAATTTAAACTAGGCATAGCTTTGGATGTGGTTTGACAGTTGAAAACTGAAATTATCACACCACAAGCCTTCTTTCAAGTGAAATGTCTCGAAAAGCACTCGGACGATTTTTTTTCAAATCTTTCAGTAATATTGTTCATATATTTGTTAACAAAAAGTGCCGATGTCACCCGATGGCACCCCTGGATCTTTGGAGTTATAGACGGTAAAATACTCCACACCAAATTACGGCCATTTTTGGAGGAATGCGACGTTGCTATGCAAAACCCCTCATTAAAAAGCATATATCTGAAAAAGTAATCAATAGATTTTTCAAATCTTAATCCGATTTTTTTATGTACCTTTTTACATAATATATAGCCTGCAGGTGACAGCACCCCTGGGTCTTGGGATAAATAGACAATACAATACAACATACCAAATTGCGGCCATATATGTTTTTAGTGAATTTTGATCACGCAGACCCCGTCTTTCAAATCAAATATCTAAAAAAGGAATCGGACAATTATTTTCAAAATTGTCAAAAATGCTGCTTAGATATTAGTTAGCAAAAAATGCCTATGGCACCCAATGACACCCCAGGAATTATAGGCTGTATAGCACTGAATGCCAAAGTACTGTTTTGGTTATCTCGCAGCCAGTATTTAGAACAATAGTATAATTGCATCTGTATATCACTAACATATTTGCTTGTATTTTAATGTATTTCGTGCAATCCGCTTGCTATACAAGCGCATTTCCCACAACTGTTGAAGTGCCAGTCATGGTATTAGTCAGTTATAACTACTTGTCATCCACTACCTATGACATACAAGAGCCAATTATATATCGACTGTACCTCTATATAATAACTCTCATGTATGCCACATACAGTAATTGGCTCAAGTACATGTCAAATAAACCATTTTTTTAAATACCGAAGTCTCATTGTATCTTTTTCAGAATGGACTACATGTTTATCTTTGAAATGCTGTGCACTATAAAGGTAGGAAGTAATTTATTCGAATATCATAGTTGTGACTTACATTATGTATGTTCCCATACCTCATTTATGTCATTAACATTGACAAAAAAAATTTTTGCATTTGTTTTGCCTAAACTTTCATTTTAATCCTATTATCTAAAAATTGGAGTCATTTAATGAAATCATATTCTAGTATAATGTTAAAAGGTAACTTAGAAAGTTGAAGCTCTGTCCAATAAAATAATAATATAAAAAATGAGTTATTTACTGTTTTCATTTCAGAGAATGGAAGCAGCTTATAACCTCATAATGGGATACCCCCTATGGGGTGTAGCTGAAATTAGAGACTTGAGATAACAGGAATGATGTAATTGTTACTTCCAAAACCTGTGCCTTCATCAAGTGTGACATTATCATAAACATGATTATTTTTTAATTACTCTGTCATCAAATCTTAAATCTATTAGTTTGTCACAATATCAAATCTTGTA